TCTCTCTCTCTCTCTCTCTCTCTCTCTCTCTCTCTCGCCTTTCTCAAGGACTCTCCTCAATGACTCATCACCCAAAAAACCATGTCTACAACAACTTTGCAGGCCATTAGGGCTTGGCGATGAGTCGCTTTAGCAAAATCCGGATAATACGTCAGTGCAGCTTTTCGGCAATTCGGTACCCCAGACATACAAAGTTCTATCTGGACGGAACCTACTTTTGTTTGTTTTGTTTTGTTTTTGTAAAGTGTTTTACGGCGCTCGCAACTGCATAAGGTCATATGAGCGCGTGGGACATACCTAATATTTTCAGTTGGTAGGAAATTTTGAATTTTGCCCGGGTGGCGGCCGAAGCCTACTCTTATCGATTTTAGACCACCAAGGGATCTTTAACGTGCGCAACTTGCACACAGGCCCTCCGAGATTTTTCGCCCTTCTCCGAGAAGGCTAGGTGTAGATCTTTCCTACCAGAAGATCAGGGGTGTGGCAGAAAGACAGCAGTAAGGAGGAGCCAAGGAGTAGCAGTAGAAAGGCTGCAGAAAGAGTCAGGAGCCCAGAGGAGGGGGCAAAGGAGGTGAGGGGGTGGGGGCAGAAAATGGAAATGAAAGCAGACAACAGAACATTGCTAGAGAGCAGGAAAGGGGTTGAAAGGAGACAATTTTAGAGAAGAAAATGTTTTGGTCGCTACCCGGATTCGAACCCGGGACATTTGAATGAGAGGCCAACACCTTAACCTCTAAGCCACGAGAGCCCCCAACCTACTTTTGAGAAATTTGACGTCAAAGCTTTTGAGTTTCACAAAATGTCAAGCTTTTTCGAAAGCAATTCTTTGAATATCTGGATAACAGCTTTGAAAAAATTCACGGTTTTGATAGAGCAGATAGAGAATTAGACTTCTGATCTCAAGGTGTTAGATCTAGTAACGCAATACGACCAACAAATATGCTCTTTTTCATATTTAGCCCCACTTGTTTGGAACAGGCTTCAAAAACCCCAACAGAGAAGCAGAAAATCTAAAAAAAATTTAGAAGAAACTAAAAGTAAAAGCATTTCTATTTTCATCATATTTCGATTAAACAGAATCCATCCAAGCTGTAGATCGTTGTGAGTTTGTATGTGCGTATGTGCATAATATGTACGTATGTGTGTATGTGTGTATGTATGTGTGTGTGTGTGGTGCGTGCGTGAGGGAACATGTGTTTGCACGAGTATGTAACACTATATACCTTTAAAATTGATTTGTAAATCCATAATATGTATCATGTTAAGCGCATAGAGCATTGCATAAGTGGATATGCGCTATATAAATGCAATCCATAATTATTATTTATGTTAGATAGAATTTTGTAATTCTGATTCAAAGTAGCTAATTGTGTTATTTATGAACCGCTTCGACAAACAGATTACAACCACTTCGACAATTAGTGGGTACACACATTTCGCCCAACGGGTTATGAAAGATAATTAAGAGTCTCATCATTCGGATAATGTTTTATCGAGAATTATCTTGTTATCCGGATATTATGTTGTCAAGATAAGTTATTCGGATGTCCTTGCTCTGCCCCGAGTGCACACATACCAGTCCGTAACCTTTTTGCACTGTGCGTTACGGTTCTGAGTACGTGGGAGCTCCTCGTGTTGTGCATGCGATATGCGCGTGCTTGTTGCTGGTGAGGTAAGGATGGTTCATCAGGACGTGGTAAATTGTTGTTATGTTATAATAATAATAATTATAATAATAGATAGCATTTGTATAGCGCATATCCCCGCTCAAGTGCAGGCTCTATGCGCTTTACACTATATTATTACCCCAGCAGACCATAGAACACTCAGAAACATTTTCAGTTTCCCGGGAAGCATACAGTGCGAGCAGCCGATTAAGCGCTCAAACACTAACAAACTGACAAGATCTTTCGTCGTCTATTGCCGGGTACCCATTCCCACCTGGGTGAAGTGAGGAAAATTAAATTCGTGTAATGTGCCTTTCCCAAGGACACAACGTCGGGCCACGACCTTACGGTTGCGAGTCCGATAGCCTGACCACTAGGCCACCGACGCTCTGACTCTACTTATTACGCCGAAAAAGTGGGAAGAGCGTCTCGCTGTCAACTCGCGACCGCAGTACTTTTTTGTCGTATCTCCATTTTTTAACAGTGAAATTGTGACTTCTTCTTAAGCTCACTCTTTGTTGTGAACTGCTTTCACTGTTATTAAAAATGGAGATGCGACACGAAAGCACTGAGGTCGCGAACTCACAATGACGCCTCGCCGTCACCAACTCGGGTTGAGCGGTTTGCGTGACGTCACCTGACTGGACAGGGGACAATTTTACATGGCCATTTAAGAGCTGGTGCTTCAAGGTAGACAAAAACTAATTAAATTTTTGAAATCAGCGTCCTCAAATTAAGGTGGTCACCGAGCAGAATTACATTTTAACTTTTAATGCAATATTTAAGAACATTTGTGTTTTTTTCCCCCAAATAAATTATGCTTCATCAATACCACCTGTGTTGTGGTGCAACTAATTTTTTTCTTTGATCTAGACCTAGAAATCTAGATCTAGGCTTTACTGTGTCAGTAGAGTGTGTGATTTTGAAGAGACGAGGCCTGTGTAGTTTTCCGTTGTGTGTCTAGAGATCTATTTATCTGGCTGTGTTGTGTCTTGTCAAAATGGATGTCGAAGTACTCATTGCGTGCGTGTACAAAAGAAGCCCTATTTGGGATAAACGTCATAAACTGCATGCCAACAGGAATGTAATCGACAAATTATGGACAGAGATTGCAGCAGAAATGAAATGTGAAGGTAAGAAAATCGGTTTATTCACATAATTAATGTTTACATTCTAAGTCATTCTTGTATGACAATGAATGATAATAATAATATAGAGTCTATGCATAACAATAATGATGATGATTACCATCATCAAGATCATAATCGTCTCTCTGCTCTCTCTCTCTCTCTCCCTCCCCTCCCTCTCCCTCTCTTACCCTCCCTCTCCCTTCCTCCCTCTCCCCTTCACTCTCCCCCTCCCTCTCTCTCTCCCCCTCCCTCCCTCCCCCCTCTCTCTCCCTCCCCCTCTCCATCTCCCCCCCTCTCTCTCTCTCTCTCTCTCTCTCTCTCCTCTCTCTCTCTCTCTCTCTCTCTCTCTCTCTCTCTCTCTCTCTCTCTCTCTCCACAACTCCCTTAGTTGTACACTAAGGGATTGTTGGCAAAATAGGTTGTGTAAATGTCTCTTACACCTTTAGCATTGTTAGTTGGTCTGCCAGCAAGCTCCCAGGCTACACCCGATCTCGGGAATGACACGTCAGTAAGGTTTTGAACCATGCCTTCCCTGTCTATAATGGTGTTGTGAAGGATGCAAACACACTTGATGATCTTGTCTGCAAGGTTAACACCAGTGTCAATACATTTGGACAAAATGCACCATTTGGAGTTCAGTATCCCAAAAGAACACTCCACCACCTTCCTGCACCTTGACAATCTGTTATTGAAACATTCCTGGTCCAAAGGGAGATTGCCTCCACTGTATGGTTTCATGAGGAATGGGAGAAGAGGATATGCCTCATCTGCAACAAACACATAGGGTGCCACAACATTGGACTGCGGCAGAGGCGCAGGTTCGGGTAAATTTAATGTGTTGTTCATAAGAGCTTGGTATAGCCCTGAAGCTTGAAATGTTCCCCCGTCGCTCTGTTTCCCATACCCACCCACGTCGACTGCAATGAATCTATATTGTGCATCAACTGCAGCTTGTAGAACTACAGAATAATACTTTTTATAGTTAAAAAACAGATCCTGTGTTTGCGGGGCACTTCACTCGGATGTGCTTCCCATCAACTGCCCCTACGCAGTGGGGGAAGTTCCATATGTCAAAGAAATCTGTGGCTATAGTTTTGAAAGTTTCAACAGCTGGGACTGGCATATGTTGAGTATGAAGTTCATCCCAAAGAATGCCAACAGTTTCGGAGACAATAGCAGCAACAGTAGATGCCCCCATCCTGAAGCTAAAGGCGAGGGCCTGGAATGATGATCCGGTAGCCAGATACCTGCAAACAAAGTACATTCTGTTCATGTAAAATGAATTGCAAATACATGCATACATGATTGTTCAATTTTATTCACATTTCCAGGATCTACTCTGCGGAAAAAATGGAAGTATCTGCGGGACAACTTTTCCGCTGAGTACAGCAAGCGACCTGTTAGTCGATCTGGCGACGGCGCTGACAACTACCCTCAATCAAAATGGACATATTTCAGATCATTACTTTTTCTTAAAGATATTGTTGCTCCAAGGGCCTGCTCTGGCTCTATCGAGTCAACACCGCTGCCAGTGCCAGCAACACCAGGTGGCACATGCGATGAACAACCTCAACTTTACATAGATAATGCTGAAGAGGGACAAAGTGTATTAGATCTAGAGTCAATTCTCGTAGAGGGCAGCGTGGCTGCAGAATCACAAGAGTCGACTGAGCAATTTCCGGCCGTGGAAAGAGTCATCGAGGAAACAGATGGGAGGCAAGTTCAGTTTACTGGTGGCGCTGGTACTTTCCCCAAAACCCCATCAACTTCACGGGCGATGAAAAGAAAGAGTCGACAGGATGACCACTACCAGCAGAGAATGTGTGATATAGAAGAGAGAAAATTACAGTACCTATTCGACAAACAGGCGAGGAAAAGAGACAACGAGGATGCTGATACCGACTTAATGTTCTTGAAGACACTGCTGCCCCATATCAGGCTGATACCGCAGCACATGAAGTTGAGATTTCAGAGTAAAGTGCAGGCAGTGATTGAAGAATTTGCCTACAGTAACAATCAGAACTTTTCTCAAATACATGTGCAAACAGAATCACTCTATCAGAGCTACTCTACATCACATTCACCATCACTTTCTCATTCCCCTTCTCCAACCACTTCTTTTGATTCTGCACAACAGTTGAGACATTGGTAACAAACAATAGTATTGATGAAATGTGCCAGAAATGACTTTCAATTTTTGTTCATTCTATTTTTTCTCTTGCCGTATTTAGTTCAAATCACATTATGTACATTGTAGGCCTATGTCAGTCAGGTATGGTTTGACAAGGAAGTTTTCTTTAAGGAAGTTTTCTTTCTTTCTTTCTTCCCTCTTATCTGTTGGTAAGACGTCCGCAATCAACGCAGTCATTTTTTTGCTAAAGATTTTTAAAATCAGGATTTTTTAAAAATCTGTAGATCTAGATCAAACTGAATATTTTTAAAATCAAAAGTTCATTTAAAATTATGATTTTTTACCCAAAAAGTTCAATTGATTGAAATAAAATATTGGATAATGAGCGTAAGTTATGGTAGGCTACTATAACTATGATTCCTTTTCGTAAGGTAACATATCTCAGGTGTAGATCTAGAGGTATGTTATTCAAAAATGAAGTAGTGGTCTTCATGAAGTACATGTATTTCATTTCTTTTCGTTTCTATGTAACAGGAAAGCGTACATAAAGCATTGTGTGTCCTGAATTTTTAATTAAAACTAAAAAAGATCTAGTCTAGATCTAGATCTAATATAAAATGTGTTTGTGTGAAAGTGTGTTTATCTTGTGTGTTTGTGAAAAACCAGTCTGTCTGTCATCTTTCTTTCCTTTTTTCCTTCTTTTTCTTTATGCTTGTTCATGTCTGTCTGTTTCTGTCTATCCACCCACCCATCTATCCATCCATCCATGCATCCACCCATCCATCCATCCATCTATTTAATTTATCACACTCACCTCAATGTCACCACCAAACGCTCTTCTGGAAGAATAGGGCGATGCCAGTTGCACCAAGTCTTGATCAGTCGATGTTCAATCTTGTCGAGCACATAGCGAAAAGTTTCAATGCTCATTCTTGTGTAGGAGTAAAAGCGATCTGGGTATGATTTTAATTGTTTGAAAAGATGGTGATATTCTCCCAGATGTGGCCTTTCCTTATTGATGTCATGTACATTTGTAGATCTACCATGACGTGCTGTCCTTAATTTAGGGAACAGACTATCCAGAAGAAAAAATTCATCGTCGGATGACGAGTCCATTCTTGTAAATTTGCAATCACTCAAGACCTAGAACTAGATGTCTAGACGGTAGATGTAGGCAGACTAGACAACAGTGGATCTAAAATATGCAGCGCGAGCTTAAAAGGAGCGGCAATAGGCGCCCTCTATGTGGAGTCAAGCAGACACCGACTGGCGCCTGTCGGCGTCGATCTTCAGCCGCTTAAGTTTCGGCGTTCTTTATGTTATCGCCCTTAGAAAAATGACGTTCTACTTTCCTTAACCCTATCCGTACGTCATGTTTTACTATCGTATCCATACGACGTGGGGAACTCTGTGCCACCACTTAACCCTATCCGTACATCGTCTTTTACTATTTTGTATCCATACGACGTGGGGAACTCTGTGCCACCACTTAATCCTATCCGTACATCGTGTTTTACTATCGTATCCATACGACGTGGGGAACTCTGTGCCACCACTTAACGCTATCCGTACGTCGTGTTTTACTATCGAATCCATACGACGTGGGGAACTCTGTGCCACCACTTAACCCAATCCGTACGTCGTGTTTTACTATCGAATCCATACGACGTGGGGAACTCTGTGCCACCACTTAACCCTATCCGTACATCGTCTTTTACTATTTTGTATCCATACGACGTGGGGAACTCTGTGCCACCACTTAATCCTATCCGTACGTCGTGTTTTACTATCGTATCCATCCGACGTGGAGAACTCTGTGCCACCACTTTCCAAATAGGAGATTTACTCGTCAATCCGATCCGTACGCTTTGCATAGCAGTCCGTCAAAATGATTTTTTGAGAAATACTGAAAGTTTGTTTCAAAGAGATCTTCCTACAAGAAGTATTCTCAAATGTGAAGAATACAACCCCGGGGATACAAAATGAACCCAGGACGTACGGATAGGGTTAAAATAATTTCCAGCTCTGTCTCAGCTCCATTAGAACAACCTCTCAGTCAGGTTCTTTAGTTTTAGTAAGAG